TTAACTTGGAAATATAGTAAAGGAAACAGAAAGGAAAAGTTTCGGATGTAAGGATGTGAAGGAAATTAGGTTTAGCAATGTGCAGGTTACAAAAACAGGGTGTAAGAGGTAAGCAGGTGTTTGATCCCCCTCAGGAAAGCTCTTTTATGTTTGAGGCGAGAATGCGAGTGCTAAAGACAATGACGAATACGGCTAAATTCAAAAGACAGATCGATATGTGGCGTATGCAATAGCGATAGCGCGAAGCTAGAACATATTGTTTTGCAGTGTACGGGGCTTCGTTCTGGGCTCACTAAAGGAGAAATGAATTTGGTGAGAGTACTGATGTTTTCTGGCTAGATTTGAAGAACGGAGGAACAAAATATTATATTAAAAAAATATAGAGGTCAAAATATTGGAAGGTCTAGAAAGCGTCCTAATACACAAACTTGATGGGGTGGCTGGCGTAACGAGATACCTGCTTGATAGGAAACTTCCAAAGGGAGAGGGTGTAAATACTCCTAGGCTAGATGGCACAAGTTATCGCTCCATACAAAGGGAGCAGTAAAGTTTTTGTTGTGGTGGGGGGAGGCGTCCATTGTCGAAGATCCTCTCCCCGATCGCGGCTGGTGACTTCGATGACCAGGTGGTGGCAGCGACGACAATTTGATGGTTTAACAAAACATTGATTAACAAAGGGCCGGCGGACGACATACGTCTGCAACCGACTTCGGGACTTCTGCCGCCCAAAACTCCCCCGACCCCGTACCTCCGGCGGTCCGCCTCCGTCCCCCAAGGGGACATATTCCTTCCGTGCGGTGGCGCCGCGCACGCTCACGGAGTGTCGCGGAGCGGTCACTTTCCCTTTCCCATGCGTGTACCAGCAGCCCCCTTTCTCCTCGAAGAAGGGGCGTTCTCGGCAGTGGTGGATAGCCGCTAACAATAAATGAAACATCTATTAAAGGAAAACATAAACACACTGATCTTTGCAGGTACAACCAATAAAATCCTCCAATTCATCCATTATATAAAATATTACATACACTTGCTGAAAGTACTCTTGTGGTTTAAAACTGCCTCCCAAAAAACGTTTTTCTTCACATCGCCTCACAAGAGAAAAGCATTTGACAAGGGGGAGGGAAGCGAGGTCTGCTTCAACCCAAGCTTAACTGAGGGTATGAGGTTCGTCTCACTAAAATCAGCAGAATATGGTTCATAGAAGAAACGTCGAAATACTTTCGCACTTCGACGTAGTTTGGAGCGAAGCTCCACAGAAACAACCCCCTTTTTTATAGTAAAACATATAAAATCGCGCAACAGAAACAAGGACAGGAAGTAAACAGGACAGGCGCTAATTTTCAACTAGTTTTATTCTGGAAAATCGAACACATATATACACACGACAGGCAAAGCAGCACCACGTAAAAGTAGATTAATTTTTCACCCGATCATTCAAAAACTGAAATTCATTACAATGAAGAACAATAGAAGTGTCGCTGACACATGCAGTCTCACTTTTTTTTATAAAGAAAGCTTCCAATAGCTCTCGAGCGACCGTCTCTCGGCTTCTTCCTAGTATCCGCATCTGCTGAAGTCGCGGAACACAGCCACACGTGTTGCAATGTATAGGCAAATGCGAGCCATATTTATTTTTTACTGATAATGCGTGCTCCCGTGCTCGGTCATTGATGCACCGCCCCGTCTGGCCAATGTATACCTTTCCACAACTCAGGGGGATTTCGTAGGCCACACCCACTGTGCAGTCCACGTAAGGGGTGACGTGTTTTTTGTCACACGGTGCTTTTGCCTCCTCATCAGAGATGCGGGCGCACAACCCAGCCAACTTCTTTGGGGCAGAGAATACAACTGGAACATCGTACTTGGTTGCAACTTTCTTCAGATTGTGGGCAACCTTGTGTATGTAGGGAATGACCTCTGGTCTTTTTGTTCTCTGCCTCGTTGGGACCTTTCTTTTCACCCCCTTCATTTTTTGTAAGGCGGTCTCCGCCACAGAAACCAAGACCGAACACGGGAAGCCAGCTAATTCCAGTCTAGAAATTTGGTATTTAAAACTAGCATCCGCCTGATGGTCACAAGACTTCAGCAGTGCAGACTCCAGGCACGAAGTTGCAATCGCTCTCTTAACAGTCTTTGAATGCGCTGAATCAAAAGGAAGTAACTCTTTCCGCGCGCGATGTCGATACATCCAGCACACACGTCGTTCGTTGATGGTGAAAAAAGACTGATTCAAAGACTGTTAAGAGAACGATTGCAACTTCGTGCCTGGAGTCTGCACTGCTGAAGTCTTGTGACCATCAGGCGGATGCTAGTTTTAAATACCAAATTTCTAGACTGGAATTAGCTGGCTTCCCGTGTTCGGTCTTGGTTTCTGTGGCGGAGACCGCCTTACAAAAAATGAAGGGGTTGAAAAGAAAGGTCCCAACGAGGCAGAGAACAAAAAGACCAGAGGTCATTCCCTACATACACAAGGTTGCCCACAATCTGAAGAAAGTTGCAACCAAGTACGATGTTCCAGTTGTATTCTCTGCCCCAAAGAAGTTGGCTGGGTTGTGCGCCCGCATCTCTGATGAGGAGGCAAAAGCACCGTGTGACAAAAAACACGTCACCCCTTACGTGGACTGCACAGTGGGTGTGGTCTACGAAATCCCCCTGAGTTGTGGAAAGGTATACATTGGCCAGACGGGGCGGTGCATCAATGACCGAGCACGGGAGCACGCATTATCAGTAAAAAATAAATATGGCTCGCATTTGCCTATACATTGCAACACGTGTGGCTGTGTTCCGCGACTTCAGCAGATGCGGATACTAGGAAGAAGCCGAGAGACGGTCGCTCGAGAGCTATTGGAAGCTTTCTTTATCAAAAAAAGTGAGACTGCATGTGTCAGCGACACTTCTATTGCTCTTCATTGTAATGAATTTCCGTTTTTGAATGATCGGGTGAAAAATTAATCTACTTTTACGTGGTGCTGCTTTGCCTGTCGTGTGTATATATGTGTTCGATTTTCCAGAATAAAACTAGTTGAAAGTTAGCGCCTGTCCTGTTTACTTCCTGTCCTTGTTTCTGTTGCGCTATTTTATATGTTTTACTAAGATGAACCAACTAGCCCAACAACGTACCTTACTAAACCCTTTTTTATACTTTCCTAGCATCAGATGACAAACATATCCCTCGTTTTAGTCTTACGTGAGTGGTTTAAATACTTAGTAGGTTTGTAGTCCTGAAGTGTTTAAGGGCTGCTGTGAGTTTCGAAAATTAGCTTATTCGTCAACACTCCAGCATCACTTATCCCTAGGGCCCCGTGTTTTCGGAGTTTATTTTTCGTGAAATTCGGAGGGTGTTTTTCGGAGTTTACTTTTTAGCGAAAATTTGGTGTTTAACGGAGTTTATTTTTCGTAAATCCCCAATTCTCCGAAATTCAGAGATTACTTTCGCAGTGTTTCCTATTAAAAAGTAATAAATAATAACCGGATGCAAACGTATGCCAGATAAAAAATTAAATGCGCTTGTATCAATTAAGATTTCTTCACTTGAATTTGGTGTTGGTGTCATTGGCAATACTACTTTGTCCCACGACAAAAGTCGCACACAAGTGTGGCCTCGATAAACGTCCAAAACTTAAAATCAATAAACTCCCGGAGGAAGCCGCAAGGAAGCTCGTAGTCATCCCATCAATCTATCCCGCAGCCGCGCGAGGTAGAGTGGTTAAGGATGAAATAGAGAAGTTTCAACTGCCCCTCTTCCCAATTTTATGCAATCTCTATGGTCCATAGCTTTCACTGTTACCCCAAGAAACCTACCCTCTCCTATCTCTAAATCTCAAATCGCATGGCCCAAACTGGAAACCAAAAGAGTGGCTTTTGTCGTGACACGAATGGTACGGTAACCTGTTTCCTTTTATTTATTCACTTTTCCACAGCTCCAGGGTGGCATTACAGTAAGGGGGGGGGGGATTTTCATGAATGTGATACATTTAAGCAATACAAAGGAGCATAAAAGAACGCGCACATGCATACCCAGTATACGGGAAACAAAAAAGAAAATACTTCTCACAATGCAGCAAAAAAAAAAAGAGTCATTGTCCAAAATGTCAACAACCTTCGAAGGCAATTGATTCCATTCGCTAATAGATTTGTTGAAAAACGAAGATTTAAACTGGTTTGTGTTACATTTATATTCACGTACCTTTCGTTCGTGATCGACACGATGAGAGTATAACACGGGGGGAAGGGGTAGTTTTCGCGTTGTGTACCAATTCTGCAGTGATAAATGTTACGAAATAATTTTAGCCGTAGATTTTCCTTCTTTTTTCAAGAGATTCCCAGCCTAAGAATTCCTTCAGACTTGTCATGCTGAGTCGCCTGTTATAATTCCCGGGAACACATCTAGCCGCTAAGTTTTGACCTCTTTCAAGTTTATTTCTATCAACAGCAGTTGGTGGGTCCCAGACTGTACACGCGTGCTCGAGAACAGACCTCATATAACCCTGAACTAATCTTGACGAGACAAGCCGTAATACCCCCTTTTGACAACGGTCCGAGGCTTGAAAGATAATTAAGGTGTTATTTTCCCAAAACCATTCTTCCCTGCGCTGCTAAAAAAAAAATGTAAAAAAAAAATTTTTGTTGTGGGGCACATAACAATTTGGAGTGTATCGGATAAATCCGAATTGCCAAAAATTTTACCGGCGGGTGTTTTTCGGAGCTTTTCGGATTTATCCGAAAACACGGAGCCCTACTTATACCTTAAGCTCCGTTCATTTTGTGATAATCAAATATACACAGCAAAAAAAAAAAAAAAAAAGAAATCCGTCGATGTTTTTTGGGAGCAACACAACAGCGTATGTGTATGCATACTGGCGGCAGTTTCCGGTATAACTCTAAATCATGAACTTCACCGTCAGAAGATGCTTTCTGTCTTAAAGAAATCGCTTAGTTGTATTAAGAGTTTTATATTATCGTGATCTCCCGAATGTAGAGATGTAGTACAACTTGCCAAATAGGTTCAACAAAATCATTCTCACAGTTTCTCTGTCGCATCATATTATTAGGAGGGTTCAATCACGCGAACACGAAAGCGTCGTATCGCTATCGCCCAATTACGTTTGTAACAATCTCCTCGCTTGAAAGGTCAAAACCGAAAGTTCATTTGGAGACCCGCTTTCGCACGTTGCCCGAGCTCACAGACCGGAAAGCTGACTCTGCGTGGTACCAGGCTTATGGCGATTTGTAAAGACAAGTCTTAGGCCGTGTCTTAAAGAGGAGAAGCGGCTTAGGAAGGCTGGTCCTGTCTTCCCCACTTATCTTCATCTTTGGGATTTGTTTTTGGAGAAGAAGGGGAGGCAAGGAAGTGCCGAAAATGAGAAGAGAAGAGAAAAGAGAAAGAAAGAAAGAGAGAATAATGCAATAGCCAGAAAGCGTTTCCATCGATCATTTCGGAGAAAAGAAATTGTACTGTCACAGCGACATTTGAAAACACAGATGTCAGCAAGGCTCTCGTTTTATATAAAAAAAAGCAAAAAAAAAAAAAACAGCCCGAAAAATTTGAGATATTCTGCTAGAATCTCTTCACTTCCTTGGCATCAATTTAGTTCGTATGATATAGTTTTCGTTTTCCCTATGTATTTCGCGGTGTGAGGGATTTCTTTTTATTTTGTTTTACTAGTTTTACGTTACGGCAAGTTACAGAGGACGCCACGAGCCAACGAAGCGAATCCAATGCTGTGCAAGAGTCAGGTGACCTTCAAGAGGGGCGCAACGACACGCAAAATGCGTGGTGACGTGACGCGTTCAGTGCGCTGGATTGGCTGGGAGGGCTTGCAGAGTCTACAGCGGTTCACTGTAAGGTAGAGGAAACAGTGGCGCCGTGCTACGTTGCTGATTTGGAAAGAAAACAACAGAGCGTGACGTTCGTCTCTCAAGGGGATATTGAGTTAAAAAGGGGACTAGACGTTTGTACCCGCACAAGTAAGGGGGGGGGGGGGGTAAGTAAAAAAAAAAAGGAAAGATAAAAAAATTAAAATGCATTCAAAGTTAACCCCATATCTGACGCTTTCTCTGAAGTCTTGGCTGTCATTCTTGTTCAAACGTTCCAGGATGCAACGAAAATAACTTTCACTCCAGCGTCTTCTAAAGTTACTGGGGGAAAATCCGCCAAAAAGTAGAACACCTACCTTTTAGTTATCATCAGTATTCTTGGAGTAGAGATTGCGTTATGTGACACCTAGTGCTTCCGCTGACAGTTTTCGAACTATGAGCCGCCTTCGTGAGGAGGGCGACTCCAGCTTTCTATAGGTAACGCCAGTCGTTTTCCAAAATGGCGGCTATTGTAAGCGTTGGAGAGGCGTGCTGGGTATACCAGTTGCCGAGCCCGTCTAGTGTTCTGGCTTCACTGAGCGACATAAATTTTTCCCGCTTCTACTACAAAGCAAGAGTGCAAGGCCCGTAAATTACCTCTTTATCCTGATGAAAAAAAAAATTGTCTTGCTTTTGTATGTTTACACGGCTTTGATGTTGGTGGCGAAACATGTCGAAACATACCCATTCAACGAGCTGATTGCGCACGTCGGAGCGAGGTACGTGCCCAGAGGCAGTCTTAGCTTTCTGTCTCAATGGGCAGATTCATTGGAAACCCACATGGATATATATTTCTGCACCCATTTTAATTGTAGGAAGGAGACCCGAAACCCAATTCCCTAACGCCACTACTGAGTCCAAGTTAGGATGTTCTGTGATGCTGCGAAACAGTGACAGGCGGCACTGGCGCTCATGGGCGTACCAACCGGGGGCGCAAGGGTCAAGGCATGTGTTCCCCCGCCCCCCTCCACCTGAAACAGCCGCCACTGGGCAGGGCAACTGGTTTGCCCCCCCACTCAAAAACAAGTTGGTACGCCACTGCTGGTGTTCATTCATCCTAGAACACAGGTCATTTTTGACGGGCCTCAAGCACGAGGGGAATCACTTGTGAAGTACGACGTTAACATTAGATTAGGGCATGTGGAATTCCGCGGTACTTTTCCAGAAACTTGCACATATTAATGTGCCGTGCTCAGAACCTCTAAGTTTTTGCCAAAACGCGTAGCATGTAAGCTCGGAAGTGCTGAAAAAAAGAAGCAAATGTACCTTCTGGCTTGTTCGGGTAGTCAAGAAGTGAACAATATTGGCGTAAACCTCAAACTCTACGAGTGAAGTTTATGATTTCTGTGACAACTTGAATCATCTTGCCTAAGATTGATGTCGGCTGTTCGATTTCTAGTCGGTCACAGTGACGACGACATCTTTTAAGACGTCTCGTTCAATTCTTATTTGATTCTGGACATTGGTTAGTCTCCTTCCTATTCTTCGCTTTTTTGCAGGGAACGTGTTCATTCGTTTCTTTTTGGATTCCTCGTCGAAATCACAAACTGGGTAATACCACTCTTTTAAACGTTCCGCCCTAGGCAGCTGCATACTGCGCATATTCTTAAGTCCGCCCCTGAACGTGAGATCGCCCCACAAGAGTTCCTTCAAAAGGCTAATGATGAAGACCTTTCATAGTTTGCACGTAAGAGCTTCGTGCTGCTAGCAACAGCTGGTGCCATCACTCTGAGCAGGCACTGAGCACACAAACGCAAGGACCGCAGTCTGTAGTGTACAATTCATTAGATCTCTTTATTTAGAGCCACTAAATGAGCTACGCTTAGAGTATCGCCACTCTGTTCCCAGTATTGTTGTGGCGCCGCCGTCTTGGTCTTTGCAGAGAGCAGACGCAACTGCCGATCGTCATGATTCCAAAGTGCGACTTCCACAACATTAGATTCGGTGTTAGGATGCGCATATAATATTTCTTCGCTCTGCCGCGAACTGTTTTAACGTTTGTTGAGGACGGAAAAGCACTTCCTGTGATTTCAGACAAAGTTTAAGATAACTTGCAACCTTGATTTTAAGCAGGAAAATGGGTAAGTGTCGTTACCCTGAAGCGTAAATTATTTAGTGGCTCTATTCCTATTAACTCACAGAGTTCGTGAATCTGTTGGGATTGTTCTTTACAATGTGTAAATTTTAATACACCGAAGTATAAGCAATAGCTGGGATACTAAAGGTTGCATATTGCAATATTTTCGTGGATACCAAACAACCAAATTACCTCCTAATAGTTCTACAAAAAGACGCCTAGGCTGGTTCAAAGTCATATATGAAAGAAACTACAGTATAATTACCACTTACAATTAATCGAAACTTTTTTTTACTACACGCAATCGTAATAGAATTATTGGGTCATAATAAGTTTACCTATTATTTTGCAGTTGAAAATTGTCAAATTATTTATACGATTTAATATATCTTAATTCTTTTCCATATGTATTTAGTTTGCCACATTTTCTCCTTTTTAGAGTGGCCGCTATTAATTATTTCTTTTATTTATACAATACACAGGAAAATGTAATGCGCAGGCTATACTCGGCACTTCCAACACCCGTATCTTGTTTAACATATCATATGCACGTCTCGAGCTACCTTCTTCGCCGACAGTATAAACTGTCGGCGTCTTTGCTCAGTTGTACAGTTTTCTAGGTGGCTCGTGCAAAGTCTCTCGTCGCGTCAAATTCTCAGCTGCGTTAAAAGGGTCTAGTCCGATGAGCAATTTTACGGACGAGGATGATACACTCTATAAATCGTTCTCTTTATGCCTTGTCACAAATTTCTCCGATGAACTAGACGGTAGGTAACACCTTTATCCTCGGTACTTCCGAGCGCTCCGTGGCGCACAACTGCTCAGCCTAGCGTGTAGCTTGCTTCGTGTGCTAAGAATATTCATTTTGGGTTTGCTCGCCTGCGGCGTTGCCGAAGTTCTGGACATCGGGGACGCTTTATTATCTCTGCGACGCGAGAAATTAGCTATATGAACAAGTGAAACGCGTCTATGACGTTAAGTTGCGACCGCTGAAAAAAGAGGCGGCGAGGACGTTGACAGCGATGGCAACAAGCGAGGTCGGCCCGTGACTTGCCCGCTTTAGTTCATGCTATTGAAAAGACAGTCTGATAACCGAGACCCGTCGCTTCCAGTCACTAAAGCTATAGGACGCTCTAGACGTCCAAAAGGTGTATAGAACGTCCTATCGTAACCGGAAGCTTTAGAAACGTCGGCCGTGAAGTCTCGTGCATCTCATTAAAGGACTGCTCACACATGCAGCGGAGCGCTGCAAGCATAACACTGATAAAGCCCTTTCATGTTTCGAAAGTAGCGCAAGGTGCGTCGACGCACGCGGCACATGGAACGTGCAGCCCTTGGGGAGATCATGGCGGCACAGCGCAGCACTGAGCTAGATTTCAGACCCCATGAATTTCTCAGAAGTGCTGCGCGGCACGTGCCTCGAGCATTTCTACAAAAATGAATGGCGCCACTTCTCCCAGAATAAAGAAGCTTTAAGCACTGACCTCGCGGTGAGCGCGTGCTGAAGGGAGCGTTCACCAGCTTTGTATCGCAGCGTCAAAACTCTTGCTCGTGGCAGGCGATAAGTAGCTGACGACATGTGAGCAGGGCTACATCAGCGCTTCACTGCATGTGAGAACAGGCCTTAAATGCTCCGTATAGCCAAAGTGATTGCGGCAGTTGCCAAAGTACGAATCAGGAAGCCAGAAGCGTGAGTAGAGCAGGCCGCATCATCATCTCAACATTTCAAAGACTACATAGGTTAGGTGCTCTCAAACAAATGCGTGTGCATCAAGTGCTTAAAATAGAAAGCGAGCCAGAGAATCACGTGTTCTTGAGGCCACAACACGTAATCTGCCTTCTTGGAACAAAGAAAGACATTGCTTGAGAGTTCCATCTGCCGAGACGCATCAAGTTCGTAAAAAAACGTCCCGCCCTTTGGTCGTGCGTGGTTTGCGCTGCCGAGCTTTCCCTGTGCTCTGCAGTGAAGGAGTTCCTCGGATATTTTCTGAAGGGCGCCCTATATATGTTAAGCGTAGACCACGGAGAAGAAGATACGCAGGAAACTAAGACAAACGATGTACAGGGTCCGATCGAGAAAAGTAAACCCTAC